GTCCCACCATATACGGCTGTGCCCATAGCACAAGTGCTGCAGAGTAACTTTTAACAGCCATTAGAGATCAAGAAAAGAGGCATAACATGCTACCATTTCAAATTAAAAGTCATCGCTCCGTAGTGTTGCCCAAAGATTGACTGAATATTTTCAATGGGGAGACTATGGAAAGCTATCTCAAAAGGCGTGGGAAAATTGTAAATTGGACTGCACAGGACCATGAATTAAGGTGCACTTTAGTTAGGGCCAGGTTAAAGTAATGTTGTGATGCAAGCTAGTGAACTCGTGAACTCTGTAAAAAGCAGTATTGTGGAAAGTGGCAAAGACACAATGTCGGCATGTATATTTTCAGTGTCGTACTTAATTCCATGGGATTAGAAGACTTGTCCGCTCATATTTATGACACCTTCATTTTTATGGGTAGTATATTAGCAAAGACACTTATCTGACAAAACCATGGTGATTTTCTATTAGCTGAGGGTCTGTAGAGTAGATCTGAGGTATTTCTGGAGAAGTACAAATATTTGTTCGGGAGGGGGGTGAGACCGCTCCCTGTCCATTGCTGCACGGTCCGAGTCTGGGAATGGGAGGTGCTCTATAAACCCTAGCAGTTTTGACAGAGACACTTATCTGAGAAAACCATGGTGATTTTCTATTACCCGTGGGTCTGTAGAATAGATCTGAGCTACTTTTGGAGAGGCACAGTTTTTTTGGGGTCAGGAATTATACTTTTTCCTGTCTAGCAGTGCACAGCTCTGTGTTAATTTGCAAAGAGAAAGTGATATAAAAACACCAATAAAATTGCAAGAAAGCAAAAAATTAATGAAGAACGACAATTCCCTGTTACCTGTGGGTCTATTTATCACATTCCACCTAGTTGTGAGGATGTACAAATTGTTGTTGTGCTATAAATGTGACTTTACCTGGTCCAAATTTATTTTTTATGAGGCAGGTTTTAAGGGCTTTTATTTTGAAAGGTGCTGCCAAACCAGCGTCGTTTATTGTGCTTACGCTACTTGCTTCACGCTACTGATAGAAATCGTTCTGCAGGGAGCAGTGGTTGAAATCTCCCATGATGAAATTAGGAGCATCGGGGAAGTTGTTTTGAAAATCTTAAACAGTCCGCGCAATTCCCTCTGCTGCCTGATTGAGTTGGGTTTAGATGTAGTTGGATGAATATAGGCTACAGTTACAAAAAATTGAGTTAACTCACGAGGAAGGTAAAAGAGACGTAATGAAACTTATCAAAGTTCGATGTCAGGCTCACAGAGACTTTCTCGCACGACTACGGTGTTGCACCAACGTTTCTGGATGTACAAACACCTCCGCCTTGTGCCTTACCGGTCTCATGGACAACGCGATCCCGACGCACGGATGCTACAAAGCCGTCACTTTCCAGACCGGAATCCTTGTCCCCATCTTTCAGCCATGTTTCAGTGAACGCTAAAAGACAGGCATCTTTGTACTTCGACAGGAATTTAGCGTTGGCTTGTAGCTCTTCGATTTTACTCCTGAGTGATTGCACGTTGGCCAGGATGATGGAAGGGAGAAGAATACGGTTAAATTGAACTTTTCTGAATCTGTGGCGCACACCGCCTTTCTTCCCCCTCTTTCTGGCTTGTGAAGGCTACTTGTCCTTGTCGAATGTACGTTTTGCCGTCTAAGTAGGATTACAAGAAAGTCACTTCTTGTTTTAAAGACAACATTGTTTGAATGCAATGAAGGAGAAATTCACTACTGTAATGTATAGTGCTTTATTGGCTCATGGCCATTACAGGAAAACTCACCCAGTCCAACAAAAAAAGTTCCACAACAGTGAAAAAAATTATTACATACTAACAATATGTAAGAATAAAGTTAAAACAGATCAACTGAAACAAGTGAAAAAGCAATAAAATGTGACAGAGAAGATACTGTTGTTGCTGGTCGCAGCAGCGCATTGCCCATATACAGGATCTATCACTCTGACCATAAAAAGAAAGCGTTTACCACGTCATCAAAACCCGGGCATGAGTATACTCTCATTGAAGGGTCCTCTTCTCACAACTTCCCCAAGATGTGAGAAGAAGATATCACGAGCGAAGATATCACTGCGCTCCTACACTGGAACAGTCATGTCTTTTTCAATCTACCAGGGTGCACACATCTTATTCAGCATTCCATCGATGCCCCCCTGGAGTTGTTGAACGGGTACTGCCATACCGTATCACTGAAGCCAAGTGCAGGGAAGTCCATCAAGGGGTTCATAAGATGTTGGATCGGGATGTTAATAATGAAGAAATGATAAGCCCCTGTTCCAGCTCCATTGGATGGCAGACCTGGAATCTGCTAAGGCATTCACCAACTTGAAGGAAGTCCTCTGTATATATCCAGTTCTCAAGGTACCGCACCTTAAGTGTCAGTTTTTCCTCCAAACAGATGCCTCTGAGAGGGGACTGGGTGCCATCTTGTCTTAGGAGTTTGACGGGGTAGAACAACCTATCCTGTTCCTCTGCCTTGCAATGGACCACACACCACTTACTTGAATTAGCATAAAAATGCCCAGGTAAGTAGATGGTTCATGATCACAAAAAGATGCCTTCTTTAAGCTTGGGGGAAGGATGTTTGACATAATGGAGAAAAAGTTCCCCTCCCGAGTCTCCTAGTCACCACCAGAGGGCCTCAAGACAAGAAAACCAGATCTCTAGCTATTCCCTGACAGTTATGTGAATATTTCTCATCATTAACACATTACCCTAATCAAGTGGAGTAGAGGAGTATATTAAAGGCTCATGCAACTACTCAGGTGTATAGCCAGAACTATGCCACAAGTCCTCAGCTCAGACACACCCCCTTCTCTATACCTGAGAAATTGAATCTTTTACAGAGCCTTAATGTTCTGCCTAAACCTTTTTAAAAAGCCTATTACAGAGCAACATCACACCAGCTCTCTATCTTTGTCTGTGTTATTAGATTGTGAAAAGCGCAGCCTAAAACCCATGCACTATTACACATTTGAGGCTACAATGGAGTGAAAAAGTGTTTGCCCCCTTCCTGATTTCTTATTTTTTTGCATGTTTGTCACACTGAAATGTTTCTGATCATCAAACAAATTGAAATATTAGACAAAGATAACACAAATAGACACGAATAAGGTTTTTATTATTAAGGGGAAAAAAATCCAAACCTACATGGCCCCATGTGTAAAAGTGATTGCCCCCCCTGTTAAAACATAAATCAACTGTGGTTTATCACATCTTTGGAAAGCTGAGTTCAATTTCTTTAGCCACACCCAGGCCTGATTACTGCCAGACCTGTTCCCAATCAAGAAATCACTTAAATAGGACCTGCCTGACAAAGTGAAGTAGACCAAAAGATCCTCAAAAGCTAGACATCATGCTGCGATCCAAAGAAATTCAGGAACAAATGAGAAACATAGTAATTGAGATTTATCAGTCTGGAAAAGGTTATAAAGCCATTTCTAAAGCTTTGGGACTCCAGCGAACCACAGTGAGAGCCATTATCCACAAATGGTGAAAACATGGAACAGTGGTGAACCTTCCCAGGAGTGGCTGGCCGACCAAAATTACCCCAAGAGAAAAAACCCCACAACAACATCCAAAGAACTGCAGGCTTCACTTGCCTCAGTTAAGGTCAGTGTTCATGACTCCACCATAAGAAAGAGACTGGGCAAAAATGGCCTGCATGGCAGAGTTCCAAGATGAAAACCACTGCTGAGCAAAAAGAACATAAAGGCTTGTCTCAGTTTTGCCAGAAAACATATTGATGATCCACAAGACTTTTGGGAAAATACTCTGTGGACTGACGAGACAAAAGTTGAACTTTTTGGAAGGTGTGTGTCCCATTACATCTGGCGTAAAAATAACACAGCATTTCAGAAAAGGAACATCATACCAACAGTAAAATATGGTGGTGGTAGTGTGATGGTCTGGGCCTGTTTTGCTGCTTCAGTACCTGGAAGACTTGTTGTGGTAAATGAACCATGAATTCTGCTGTCTACCAAAATATCCTGAAGGAGAATGTCCGGCCATCTGTTCTTGACCTCAAGCTGAAGCGCACTTGGGTTCTGCAGCAGGACAATGATCCAAAACACACCAGCAAGTCCACCTCTGAATGGCTTAAGAAAAACAAAATGAAGACTTTGGAGTGGCCTAGTCAAAGTCCTGACCTGAATCCGATTGAGATGTTGTGGCATGACCTTAAAAAAGCGGTTAAGGCTCGAAAACCCTCCAATGTGGCTGAATTACAACAATTCTGCAAAGATGAGTGGGCCAAAATTCCTCCACAGCTCTGTAAAAGACTCATTGCCAGTTATCGCAAACCCTTGATTGCAGTTGTTGCTGCTAAGGGTGGCCCAACCAGTTATTAGGTTTAGGGGGCAATCACTTTTTCACACAGGGCCATGTAGGTTTGGATTTTTTTTCCCTTAATAATAAAAACCTTCATTTAAAAACTGCATTGTCTGTTGACTTGTGTTATCTTTGTCTAATATTTCAATTTGTTTGATGATCTGAAACATTTTAGTGTGACAAACATGCAAGAAAATAAGAAATCAGGAAGGGGGCAAACTGTTTCACACCACTGTAAATGCAGGAGGACTATTGTTAGTCAAAGACTAGAAGAGGTCACATTCTTTAATATCAAGAACCTCTGGAATCTGCAAAAAATGCTAGTAACTTCCCCTCACAAGTTAGGATGTAAGCTCAAATATCAGACAATCGCAAACGAAATTCCATGCTAGGATCAATATCAACCTATTGAGTTTAAACTGTTTGTACTCAGTGTGAACTTAAGTCAAAATAATGCTGAATTCAAGACCTCCCCAGCTGTGAGTTCAATAGTGGGAAATGATTTGATTTGTTAAACTTAGTCCCTGTTGTATGTTGCACAAAAACAAACAAAAGCTAACCACATGATGCAAAGGCTGTCACTGTAACTAGAAAAACTCACAATTTCCATGGAAATATTTTCATCAGAAACAAAAGAGTTGATAGTACACATAAAAGTCCAAAAGACGTTTTATTTTTGCATCAAGATAAAGAATAATTTTAACTTTCATCAGACCTCTGGCTTCTGCATGTGGCATTCCTTGTGGTCTTTCAGTCTTGCACACTCCTACCTGAGAGGGCAGACGTGTGAGGCAGTGATCAGGGTTCTGAGACACCTCTATTGTACCCATTCTCCAGCAACGTACCCAAACATCTCCATTGAGATGGTTGCAAATGCAAGTTTATTTGGAGAAAAGCATCAACCAGATAAATAAGTATATCTGATCCAGGAAGTATGACCTTACAGGAAAAGCGTCCATGGCTTCAGCATGTCATAATAGAAATGATATTACAAATGCCCATTAAAACATTATAAAAAATTTTAAAAAGGTATTACTTTAAATAAAAGCTTAAAGGTGTCCCTTGTGACAAAATATAAAAAGGCATATAAAATTCAAGGTATTAAGTATAATAAAAATATTTACTTTTCAGGTACTTAAACTATATGACCCTGTTACTTAAGCTACTTGGCTGGTTGGGCTGCATTGTGGTTGCGTACAGCCAAGTGGTGGCACTATGCTACTTTTGTGAGCTGCATATCTCCAGAGACATGTAAGGCAGTGAGGGAGGCCAGAGGCTGGACACGGTAAGAGAAGCCACACAGGGGCTGGCCATCCACCAGGATGCGGAACCGCTGGTGCTCACAGAGAATTTCCATCTGAAAGACAGGGTAGCACAACACAGTTTACAGAAGTGGATGCAGCTATCCATTAGCCAATCTGCCCTCCACTGAGAGGGGCAAAAGAGAGCTCCAGAGTTCACAAGACTCCTGTCATCCCATTTCATAATGACCAAGAATCAAATCTCTGGAGATAATACTGGCAGCTTTCCTAAAAAAGATCCACAAGATCCAGTGAATCAATACCAAGTAAATCATTTTCCAGTTTAACAAAGCCCTTATCTCCCTGCATAACTACTTTCCCAAACTGAGTGTATTGGTCAAATAATCTAGAACAGGAGTGCCCAACCTTATGTAATGTAAGATCTACTTTTTCATTTGCCAGTCCAGTGTGATCTACCAGTGTGAATTTGAAGATCTGATATAGGAAAAACAGACTGTGGGCACATCAGTACAATGATGAAACCCATCACTAAAATGACAGCAAATAAAAGCAAGTGACTCATGCTACAGTGAACAAGTAATGTTCCGCATTTTAGAAAAACAATATCTTACCTTAATGTGAGCATTGGCACTGAGAAGATTGAGAACACTTGTAATTTTTTTTTAATGTGTTGACGCTGCTGATCATGTCGATGACGTTTTTATTGTGTCCCTGCAGCTCCAAATCCAGCTTATACAGCAATTCAGTCATGTCTGTGAGGAATGCTAAATCCAGAAGCCACTGGTCATCCTCTAATTGGGCATATTCACCATGTTTAGACTGACTTGTTGATTTCAGGCAACAGCTGTCTAAACCTTGCCAAACGTTTGTTTTTGAAATCTCCAAACAGCAAGTCTGCAGTCTCAGCAAACGCTTTATTACTTCTTGATCCCTGAATTACTTTTTGTGTTTAGCCAGGAAATGGCTCACACAGAACGATGCAATGATTGCAGCTTTCCATCTCTTTTATTAGGCCTTATGAAAACCAATTGCTGCCAGTTGAGATTTTAATTTTTCCACTTTTCTATTTCCGTAACTCACTATTAGTGGGGAAAGTCCACATCATACATCTTGTGTGCAGTTTTGAAATGCTGTTATATATTTCAATTTTTCGCGTAGACTCTAGCATTGCAGATTTTAATGCGATAGTACAAAAAAATAATCATGCCCCCATTCCTTGTGGTAACGGTAAGGTTTCGGTCTCTTTGCTTCATTATTTTCACTCAAACACTACAACTATCTAATAGGCACTCAAACTTATCCAACTGCAGGTGAATTTGTCACGGCCAGTCTGTTTCGCCCCACTATACGCTGTAGTGAATGTGGGGTTCGTGCGGTAATAACCAAGAGAATGTTCTTCGGTAGCACACTCAACACTCTGTGGAGCTCCTTTAGTCTTTTTTTCATTGTCAGCTAGCACTCAGAGAAGAGACTTTTACAACCCATTCGACAAGGATTAAACACACACAAGGTCAGTAAAATGTCTGAAATTACATGCACAGATCTGAATGAATTTTTAGGCTATTGGGAAAAAAACAGTCAAATAGCCCATTTATTTTTTGCCAAACATTCTTGCGATAGATTGACTGGCAAGCACTCCAGGATGAACTGGTCGGTCGCGATCGACTGATGAGGCTGAAGTTGGCTTCTTATTCGCCAGTTTCTTATTTGCAGAGCGTTCAAGATGGCGTACAGGTGGGAGGTAAACTTTAGTGGTTGAGGAGTTTTGTTTGAGTTTTTCATGACCTGAATGTTATTTTTTACTAAAGAAAAATAAGGACTTAACACTAGTTGTTTAAACTTCGGTTATAAGGGTGTCTGTAAAAGGACCCTGCCGGGCCAGGAGGACGTGATATCGGCCACTGACTCTGTTCACAGGCTTGGGAGAGCGAACATGTCTGGGGAAGTGCGCCCCAGATCGATTATAATACAGTTCACCAAGAGGATGGCGAGGGATATGCTGTGGCGAGCGGCGAGGGGGAATGAGTATTTGAATGAGAACAAACTGAGGTTTGCAGAGGACTTGTCCCACGCGGACAGGAGCACCAGGAACCAGCTGTGGCCCCAGGTTGAAGCTACCAGAAAGGGGAGGAGAGCCTACTTTGTGGGAGCGAGGGCCTTTGTAGACGGGAAGGAGATTCGCTCCCAGGGACTGCTAAGTTAATAATTATGTTTGGTTTTATTTGTTATAGCAGTATATACTAGTGTTTATTTAGTGTTAGTTTGGAATGGTGTAGTTAAGTATTAAGGACTGTTATAGTTCTGGTTCTTGTGTATGTCTTTTTCATGAATGCCAGAGGTACTCGAAATGTTGTTAAAAGAAAAATGTTTTTTTTTGGTTTTGTAAAAAACTGTGTGCTGAGTTTTATTTTTTACAGGAAACGCATACATGTTGAAACTAAATTCTATAAATAATTGAGAAATATTAAAGCAAGGAAAACATGATATATGTAAAATAAACAATTTGATCACATCATTACTTAATTACCTCTGGTAGTTAAATGCTTTTTTCTGCTGCGTTTTTTTCCTCTTGTACATGATTCAGATCCTCTTGTATTTGTATCTGTAAATTCTATACGTTTAATAAAGTTATTTTTTTTAAGTTTCTTATTTGCATTTTTTGTTCCACTTTAAATGCTGCTGCTGTGATGTTATGTCTCCTTTCTCCTGCAGATGGCTCTCTACTGTTTTTTTTTTTAATGTACTAATCCGGATAGATTACTGTACATATCCTTAGTGAAGGGGAATATGTAAGTGAATAGTGACTCTCCAAATCGCATTTTTGTAAGAAATCAAATTTTCAAAACTCACAATAACACAAAAACCGTCATGGTAGACAATGAGTACATAAGACAAAGGCAGAGACAAAGGCAGTGAATTCACTGGCACTTTCTGCATAGTTACCACGACCTTGCCTTCTGATCATTAAAAGTCTCAAAATCTTGCATTTTACAAGAAATTTAAAAATAACAGTTTTAAATGGGACATTTAGAACATGGCATATGAGAATATATGGTTAACCGAGAATGAGCAAAGGGTGACTGCAGTTCCTGCTTATTGATATGAACCTACCTCCTGGTTACAAAAACATCTCAAAATTCTGGCACTGAGATGTGACAGACAGTGCAACAGACTATCAAAATCCTGAACTTCAGGAAATTTTATTTACTGTACCATTTTTTAAATATAACCCTCTGAACATGGCATGAGAGAATACATTGGCAAATATTGATTGCATTTTTTGCTATATTGCAAGGGCTCTTACTCCTGATTACAGAAATGTCTCAAAATCCTGACACTCAGGTGTGAGACACAATGTAACAGACTGTCAAAATCCTAAACTTAAACTAATCCTTAACTGTTTTTTAAATGTGACACTCTGAACATGACAAGTGAGAATGCATTGGGAAAAGGGAAAAGCACTTTCTGCTGTATTTCTGAGGCACTGCTTCTTGATTATAAAATCGTCTCAAAATTCTGATGCCGAGGTGTGAGAGACAATGTAACAGACTGTCAAAATCCTGAAATATAAGAAATTTGACTGTACCGTTTTTAAAATATGACCCTCTGAACATGGCATGAGACAATGCATTGGGAAAAGGTGATTGCACTTTCTGCTGTAATCCTATGGCCCTCCCTCCTGATTATAAAAACATCTAAGAAATCTAATACTGAGGTGTGAGACACAATGCAACAGAATATGCAAATCATGAAGTACAATAAAATGTACTGTACCATTTTATAATATGACCCTCTGAACATGGCATGTGAGGATTTAAAGTCAACAAAATAGAGCACCTTCTGCTGATTTGCTTTGTCCCTCCTTCCTCATTACCAAAACATCTGAAAAATCCGACACTAAGGTAAAAGAGACAAAATCACTCATGTACATCTGTAATTATGACACTTCACTTTTGCATTTCTGAGTTGTGACATTCTGTATCTAGAAAACCTAGATCAGGACAGGCTAATTGCAATTCATAGTGATTTGTCATTGTCTTACTTTCTGAAAAAAAAACTGCCTTTTTTAGTGATTATGTCACTTCGGTATGGCATAAAATATGCTCCAATGCAAAATAAATAACCATGGAAAAAATGTCCACAGAGGACATTCATAGTTGTGATTATAAGAATGTTATATATCAGGTGGGTAGCTGCATCAGCATGCGTAGGCTAAAAAGGAACAAGTAAAGGTTTGTGAGTATGTGTATTATTATGAGTTTTAAAATTGGTTTGCTATTTTCTGAAATATATTCCATACAAAAATACAATTTACACAGTCAATATCTATTTAGATATTCCCTTTCACTGAGAATGTCTACGGTATTCCATCCGGATTCGTACTGACGGAAGAGAGCCATCTACAGCCAAAAGGCGACATAACAGCACTTAGGCAGCATTTAAGGTGGGACGAAAACGCGAATAAAAAGCCAAGTTCAGCCTCGTGATCGACTGGTTGGGCACCCCTGATCTAGAATGATCTGCAGTAACAGAGTACAGTTGATCTAGGTTTTCACTTTACTGTATAAATGAAACAGAATAAGACAATTTACCATAGTGTAACAATGAAATAATTGATGATATGAAATAACTCTCAGTCGAACACAAATGGATCGCTTTGTGTGTCTTATTGTGCTAGTTTCTCAGTTGTAGGAAGATGATTTGTAATGAAAAATCATTCACATTTTATTACGTGTACACAAAGCGCTTTTCTCTGCCATAAGTGAGAAAAAGCAAAGCTGCTGTAGAAATGAAAAACGACTCCTGTGAAATCTATAGAAATACAGTATGTGTAACCCTGTTACCTTGAAAGCTTCCCCTGCGGCAAAGGGGAAGTAAGGGATGTTCTTCTCCATAACTCCCCACTCTCCCGAGACCTTAGCATTCCGTAGAATGGCACGATCATGGAAGCAGACAGTGACTTGCAGCCCCACATCTGTGTCTGGGTCCTGAGGATGACAGGCCAAAGCCACGGCAATACTACGGACACACAGATACAGCTGTCAGTGACAGTACACCAATGGTTTTGCATAGTACACAGTACACAGACATGGATACACAGTCCAAGTTGCTAGTGTAGGGTAGAAAGCTAAGTAGATGGACAGACACCGTAATTAGTGTATTACAGCACAGCAGTGCAGGCACACAGACCCAGATTCTAGTGTAGCGTAGTGTATTACAATTCTGATTCTGCTATAACAGCATTTATAGTGGATCTGTTTACCTGCAGTTTTAATTTTACTTTTAGAAAAATGAAGAGCAGCATTTTTATGAGGGAAATCATGAAAGCCTCTTTGTTGTAACACATAGTCAGGAGCACCACAGCCACAGAGTAAACAATGTAACAAATCTATTAGAAGTCCCAGATACATTTTTACTGATTTTTACAGACAAAAAAACAACTAGGACAGATGTTATCTGCAGCACTTCCAAACCTTGATATGTTGTGGGATGGTGAGATTTCTCTAAAACTGTACTTAATGCAAGGGAGCCATTTGGGGACTGCAATGAAGTGGCCCCCAGATAAAAATAATTTGTCTCCCAAGCATTTTAGATAAATGGAGCACAAGGTGTTTGAGGGGCCCTGAAAAAGATGTGGTACAGGAGGAAAACCCCACAGGGACAATTTAATGCAAGGTTGAACTAAGAATGATAGATTCTGTCCCCCACTACACATGACCATTTTGGAAGTTGCATGGGGAACAAAAAAAGGGAAAACCAAAGGCAAAAGCAAAACAAAAGATGTAATTAAGGTAATTAAGTTCTAAATGATAGGTGTATCAAAAACACATTAGATGACATAGAAGTTACCATGTTAGTACGCAATTATGATGCTACTGGAATCACAGAAACATGCCTAACTGTAAATGATGGAGATAAATGGAACATTAGCGAATACATTCTGTTTCAGAGAGACAGGAAAGACAGAAGAGGGGGAGATGTAGCACAATATATCAAAATTAGTTTTCAGGTTTAGGAATGTAAGATAGAACAACCAAGATTCTGAATCTACTGTATTTGGGTCAGACTAGATACAAAAAATGGTATATGTTAGGAGTATAAACCTCCAAATACCAAAGTATAAAGCAATAATACATAATTAAATTAGAGCAGTACAGTAGTGCATTGGTTCGCATTGTGAGCTTGGGGCCCTGCTTTCAATTCCCAGAGTGCTGACTGGATTTGTATGTTCTCCCCGTGTTTGCATCGGTTTCCTCCAGGTGTTCTGGTTTCCTCTCACAGTCCGAAGATATACTGGTTAATTGGCTTCTGGAAAACTGACCACGGTGTGAGTGTGTGCATGTTTGTGTGTCCTGTGATGGATTAGCGTCCCATCCAGGGTGTATCCGGCCTTGTGCTCATTGCTTGCTTGGATAGATTACACCTCCCCTACATCCCTAAAGTGGATGAAGCAGTTAGAAAATAGATGGATGATGTAATATGAAACAATATTTTGTATGTTGAATATACTTACTGTCAATATTAATTTATTAATCCAATCCAATCAACAAAGTAGCTGGAACCTCACAGTTTTTCAACTGTTATTTTATTTTTCCATTGTTCCCTTCAAATAGCTAAGAAATCCAATCCAAAAGAAAACTCATGATATATGGCAGGACTGTAGAGGCTTCTAGCAAGTCTGTCAAAGTTATGATATTACAATTACAATTGGTGGCCATATTGGATGTCAAAAAACAATCAAGTAATGTTTTCCCTGAATAAACTTGGTCAATAGAACTAAACTTTCCCCAGATTACACAAGACTTGACTTTGTGTTACAAAGTTTTGTTGGGGGTTATGATAATTTATTTTATTTACTTGGTTTATCCGCTCGGTCGTTTCCTGGTATTTGTTACCCCATGTGTAACAGTATTATGGAAGACATATAGGAATCCACATGTCCTCTAACAAAAATTTACATTATCAGTGGCCATTAACCTCAAAGATCTATGCAAAACCATTGGTGACTACTGCTTGCAGCTATGCTTATTACTATTGGTATTTTTTATTGAATACAGATGAAAGATGATATTCACCTTCTGTTAGTTAAGATTTCTTCCTTTTTTGCTCAGACTTGTATGTTGTAATAAGCAGCACTAAGCAGCTGTTCTAGGTCCTGTCACCTGTCAGTCCAAGACAGCAGTATGTGAATGTGAAGTGTTAATGTGCAAATTAGGGTCATATATAATTTACTTCATATTAACACAAATTTGCAACATGAGTAAAGAAAACCAACAAAATAAATTAGTGAATTATCTAATTTTTATTCTTGCTGCTGATCAGTGAAGTGCAAAGCCGATGTGTTCACAGGAAGCTGGGCTGTGCTTGCTTTAGAACCTGAAGGGGTGATGGAGCAGTAGTGATCTGTTCAGGAGGTTCTAAGTGGAGAGGACCCTCAGCTGCAGCACAAACCATAAAGTGGGTTATCACTGGATGCTGGAATGTCATAATGAGGAATTGTTTAATTAGAATCTATAGGGTTGGTGAGCATTAATCACCAGTGGCTGTGGGGCAAGTGAAGAGCATTCCTGTGCAGAGGAGAGCAGCTGTAAAATAAAGACGCTGTGCACAGTATCTACCTGATACTGACCTGAGTTGATTAGGCCCCTAGTTAAGCCCCTAACCTACAATGACAATGGCATTACTGCTTTTTACCTATGCTCTGGGTTGAATCTTAACTGATAGAACAAATCACAAAGGCAGTGTTTGACAGCAGGCATCAATTGGATACAAGTTAGAAGCCTCTGGCTATCAAAAATGTGCCATCAAGTACAGTTACTGTACTTGTAATTTCCAACTAGAGAACAGATCAGTGCTTTGACAACACAATCTAATGCTTTTGCATTTCACATTAAAACACAATTACAATTTAATTTTCAGCAGTAAAATCAGAATTTGGTACATTTAGAGAATTTAGTTTGAATTCTAGGTAACATAATCACATAATTGATCTGGTTAATTTGGAGAAAATTAATATTTTAGGATTTTAGCAAATAATGATTTAGATATTAAAAGGAATACCAACAGAAATTCAGAACTAGTTAATATAGCACTGAACATTACCAAAATATTATCTTTATTAACTGACTAGTAGTTATGAACGCTTATTTACTGGTATTCTTCACAAAATCAAATTATGCTTTTAGAGGAGACAACTAAGACAGCCTGAATGCCCTTTTGTCCTTTGTAACCATTGTTTGTACTTATGAGGATCTATAAAACTTATAAGATTATAGCCTTCTTTGACTCTATCAGAAAACTGATGAGAATTATTTATATATCTTGATTTCATCTTTATACACTGATGGCAAAATGCCACACATTAAAGCTGGGGGTAAATTCATCTCACTATGTAACAGAAACTTTGCTAATTAAAGAGGTCCTTGGGACAACAGAATAGAGAAGTTACCATAAAGTACAGAAGCCGGGACTATACTAAAATGTATAAAGCCACTAACCAATCATCAGTTCCAAACCCAATATTTCATCACAATTCTCGACTGGGTAGATAAGAACATAAGAAAGAATACATATTGTCCATCTGGGCTTTATGGTTACAGGCTTTGACCCATCCCTACAATGCCTGAGAAACCCTCTTCAACACCATGCTGGGAAAATGAAGTATGAACAAACATCAAACACTGTTTATATGTTGTAGGTCTTTGATCCTACTACAACTCAGTCATATTCCTTACTTGTAAGTTGGCATTTTTTCTGTAATGTAAATAATCCTCTTCATTCCACTGCATTATTAAAGGCTGATTACAATCTTGTGCATTTGCAAGCAGCCTTTATGTGATTTGATGTTTTCCCACATACTGTACAATACAATATATTTCATATAATTTAAATATTTAACTAATGTGATCTCTTCTTTATACTCAATGAAGCATCTTAGTAACCTACAGTAATCCATTGCCACACCTTTCTAGGCCCTTCATTTGGCAAGTTAATAATAGGCAGGATTTTATCATAGTGAAAATAAGAATCTTACAAACAAGAGGAGGCCATTACCCCAATTAAGCTGATTTGATAGTAAATAACTGATCCAAGGATCTCATCCAACTGTTTACTCAAGAACGCCAGGATCCTGACTTCAACTTCAACAATATGGCTTGGCAGGTTGTTCTATAACAGTGGTTCTCAAACTTTTTGGACCAAGTACCAACCTTGATCAAACCAAAGCATCCAAGTACCACCTACAAGTCATCTTCTCATAGGGACCCAAGAAATTCTCAATGACCAACATGAGCGCACGTGTGCACACACATTCACATACACACATAATAAATATTATAATAATAAACTTTATTTGATATAGCACCTTTAAAGGCCTTAAAACACAGGAACAACAACAATTAAAAATAAACAATAAAAAAGCACCATTTAAGTGAGAGGGGTGAGCCTGTTTAGTCAAGCAAAACAGATGTGAATTCATTTTTCGAGCCTTGATACAATTCATAACAGAGTCTAACAGATTTTAAATCATCAGGCATTTTCTTGATGGCAAAGGTCTCGCAGTGGATGGTGCAAATGCGTCCATTCATTTTTGGAGCAACTTCTCTAATTCGTGCAACTACACCGCTGTGTCGGCTTGTCATTGCTCTAACACCGTCTGTACAAACTCCGATGCATTTTACCCAGTCGATGCCATTCTCTTCGATAAATTCATTCAGAAGCTGAACTATGTGCTCTCCTGTAGTCCTGTAGTTGGTAGTGGCTTACAGAACAGAACGTCCTCATGGGATGTACCCTCAAACTCGTATCTAACGTAAACGAGCAAATTGGCCAAATCGACTACAGACTCATCTAATTGCAGTGAAAAGCATTTGCTCATCTTAACATGCTCTATTGGCATACTTCTGATATAATCCGCCATATCAATAATTCTATGAGTGACTGTGTCTTTCAGAGGGGGCAGCAGGTTGAGCTTTTTAGCAGCTTTTTCTCTACACATAATGTCCGCTCTTTTGCCAACGGTAAATAAGGTTCTTCAAAAATAGTGTGGAGCTTACCTGCTTTGGCAATTCGCAAGCTTGCATTTTTCCCTGTTTCCGTTTCAGGAGTCCATCTCAGAAGTTAAAAGAAGTTTTTATTTCATGCACATCGGAGCGAAACACAGAGATGCTCAGTGTTTTTTCTCAAATTAACCTAGAACAATTCTTAAATATATCTTAAATATTTATCACGCTTTCCTGTGCTCACAAGATTGCCAGCGTTTGTATCACGCATTTCTATGTGTTTACAACATTGGCATTGTTCCAAAATCACGCACATTCTCCTACCTCCCTATTTGCTGGAGATAACTTTTTTTAAATACAATTGGTCACTTAAGTTCGTAGCACGCATTTCTATGCTTTCCTGTGCTTACAAGATTGGTGGTGTTCCAAAATCACGCACATTCTCCTACCTCCCTAGTTGCTGGAGATGAGATAAGTTTTTTTAAATACAATTGGTCACTTACGTTTGTAGCATGCATTCCTATAGAATGGTATAGAATTACATAGTAGCTCTTGTGTCCTCTCAAGTATTAGCGTGTGTTGTATCGTGGTACGTAGGCTACGTATTCGACACCTATTAAAATAGAAAATATGAAAACCCGTCCCGATTTTTCAGTGCAAACAACAAACTTCCAGGGTCATATGGCGTACCACCTGGCAGCGCTCCACGTACCACGAGTGGTATGCGTACCATAGTTTGAGAACCACTGTTCTATACAACCACCATCCTTTGTGTAAAGAAGAGCCCCCGTTCTAATTTTTAAATGTACTTCCACGTTGCTTCACTTTGTATCCCCTGTTGATCCTGAAGACATCCATTGCATTGACTTTGTCAATGCCTGTGAGTAATTTGAATACATCTGGTCCTGTAATAATCCTATCTGTTCAAGACTAAAAAAGTCAATTTCAGCAGCTTTTCAGAATTGGACATTCCTTTAAGTCCTGTTATGCATTTTGATTGTTGCCATAGCAGTAATATATTTTCTGTAATGAGGTATACAACATTCTAAACAAAGCATTAGTTATTCATTATAGAATTTTAATCTAACATCCCATGATTCAGATTCTACACTTTTAACTGTATGTTCTACATTTTGTTCTGCCTTTTTATTGTTTTCCTACATTGTCAAATAAGTGATGTCAACAAAATGTTACTGTTGACAAAAAAGATTTCTCAGTTCTGTCTGCATAGAACTTTATGAAGGTCTTTATAGAGCCAAGCTACTCATGTAAAAATTATTCCCTTTTTCATATGGCACTGTATAGAGAGTTGCTCGCACAAACAAGCTGCCATAGGCAACCCAAGAAGGTACTGTGCTTCAATGGTGGATTAGGAAGTTCCTACTATCTGAAATGTACTTTGAGATTCTTCTGAAGAACAAAATTAATTATATTATTAGCATCATATACAATAAAACAAATAATAGGTTTATTCCATGCTGAAAAGAGAAGGAAGAAAACACAATGTTTCAGCCGTGTGGCCTTCTTCAGGTGTGAGAAAGACAGGGCAGTAAGCAAAGGTGGTACACAATACATTTACCATTTTTTGCAGTGTTGGAAAAAATAAGAAGTTGGAGTGATGGAGGAATTTTCTCTTTGCAAATGGTTAAAGGTCAGATGGCTAGCTCATGGAAAAAGTTATTACAGATGACTACTATGCTTCATATACTAGTGGCGGAAGAGGATACGGTCAGCAACTGGGCTGAAGATACATATACAAAAATACAAGCTAATAAAATTACCTTGCATGAAAATTAAAACGCATGTGCTTATTTTTATTAGAAAAAAATATTTTGCTATTTTTCTTGTACAATCAAACACTGCAAATGTCAGCCTAAGTTGTTAAAACACCCTGAGACACAAAACCTGAGCCTTTCCTACAGTAAGCGCTGCACAGGTATGGACAGCAGTGTTAGTCTGACGCACCTTTTCGGCTGCTGGTTCACAATTCCCATTACTATCAGTCTCATCGAGGGCTTCAGACCTCCTTTAATTTCGCCAACATACACACCATCCTGAGAAAAACAAAGGAATCAGAATGTCATGCAGCACTACATACTATTAACAAATAATTAAGGGTAGAAAATGTTATTATAAGCTTTTACGTTTAAGGGCTAGTTATTGTAACGCTTACGGCCGACAAGCACTGTGTGTAAGAGCCGGCGTACCAGAGCGGGTGACGTCACCGCCCTTCCCTGTGATAGCAGGACCACAGCTACTGGGCTGTAGAAAAATCTCTCTTTAGCTCACGGGGCTAGGTCGCTGCAGAGAGACGCGGAAGTCCCGGGTTCGAGCCTCCAGTCGGGATGGGGCCGACCAGATGCGGCAAGGGCGCCTGCCTGAGCCCCCGTTGCGTTACATTATTTTTTGATTATTTTAAACATGTTGCCAGTGAATATTATTCGAAGATGATTGCTTATACTCTATTCATCTACAGCTGGAAAAGAAGTGCTTAACCGATGCATTACATTTAACTATGTTAGGAACGTTTTTGTAATACATTTTTCCTTCGTGAATTGATATTCGTTTCAATATGTTTTAAAACTATTTAGTGTTACAATATGTTAGCATATACGAATTAAGGTACTGAATCGACGACTGCACTATAGCAGTAAACTACTGTACTGCCCAAGGCGAGTTTGGAACCTAAGCCACTTGTTATTAAAATAGTGACTGAAAGCAGAAACCAGAATTTCAATTTATCAGCGTTTCTAATTTAATCCAACTTCCTTTGTATGCGATCATTATATTTTATTGTTAGTCAGTTTCCCTTCACAATTAATTTTAGAACAATTTCAATTAAATGTACTTACGTTTTGGACTTTGTCATTTTCCGCCATGGTTTCAAAGCGGCACGTCTGCGCTGGTGTCAGGTCACAGCGTGTCAGGAGCTGGTGACAATGAAATTTGTGAAAGTCTTTATCTTCATTTACCAGTTGAGAAGGGACAGGAGATAGGGAAAATAAACCCCGCCTCGTACAGCCTTGTGCAGCTTGTATCCATAGAAACATCAAACGTACTCGCCTTGTCTCCAACATGAATAAAATATAGCAAACGCCAAGAAAAAAGAAAATTGCAGTTTCGGTTTGACAATTAAAAATAATAAATTAATTAATTTAAGCAAAATGTAATGCAATTTTGTTAGCAAAACGTTATTTCTTGTTTTACGAAAAAGATGTTGTCTGCATTTTGAAGTTTTTGAGTGCAAGATTTTGAGTATTTCAAAGATAGAATGATAATAATAATCCTTACGCTTGGTTTGTTTTACAACAGAAATAACTCAAGGTGAACTGGGAAGACAATGATATAATATTAATAAGGTTACAATACTCTTAACTTTTATCTGAAGGCTAAGTTCCCTTTGCAAACCGCTGCTCGGATGCTATATACATTTCTATAGGTTTGAAAATATAAAATATTAAAATTAACTACGAAAACTTAATAGATAGATGTTCTTTAAGGTGTTCCTAAACTGCAAGCTATTCAGTTGCTGTTCAGTGTTTACAGGTGTGAACTAACAGCAGGGAAATATATGTCCCAGAGGACCAGTTCGCTGCTATTCTTGTATCTGAGGGCTGGCCCCACAGTGCAGTGGATAGCAATATGGAGGTTCTCAGGGGAACCCGGCAGAAGGTATGTTTATTTTATACATGAACATCTACAGCGTGAATATACTGCATATAGTAGCATCTGCTTTATCCTTTAGGTACATGCATCATGGTTGGAGAACGATGACACATGGACTTCTGCGGGGTGTGCTTGAAGGAACAACTTGAAGCAAAGTGCTATTTTCAAAGTTTTATCAAAGCAGTCTCACAACAAGATAAACCTGCAGCAGCAAACATAGTAACCTGGATATGACCAAAATAATTGGAAAAGGGAGATAAACAAAAACTACAACAGTAACTAAAGGGCCATGGAATTATTTATTGTACTTATAAGTACATGAAGCAAACCATGGTGAACAGATTTGTGGTTAAGTGTAAGAACCTATATTTAAGACTTGTTTGACCTTTGATCCAGACATCACTTGTCAGGAACAGTTCTTTCCGGGCCCTATGCGGGCGACACGATCCAAAAAGGTGAAGAAACAATAGGGCAAAATATCATGCAGGAGACAGGGGGGCGTGTCCATGCAGTGCTAGTGTCCGGGGGGAGTGAATCCAGGGCGAACAATCCAAGGGTAAATCCAGAGGGGGAATCCAAGACGGGAGGTTTAGTCCAAGACCAGGGGATCCATCCGTAGTTAAAACCAGAACCGGGTCGGGACCGGCGGGGCAAGGAAACAGGAACAGGAACAGGAACAGGAACAGGAACAGGAACAGGAACAGGAAACTAAAACCATAACGGAGCCAGACGCGGCAAGACCCCGGGCTCTCACGACACGGAAATCAATGAGAAGCCCCGAGCAATCGCCTGCGTCTGGCTTTAAAGGTGGAACTAAAGAGGGGCTGGAATAAGGAACAGGTGTGGGGAATGGGACAGAACGAGGAAGGGCTGGAGCGCCCTTAAGAGGAGGAGTAACGATCGTGACATCACTAGTGTAAACCTGGGTTATGCCAGTAATGGACTGTGGCTGGAATCCACCAGGGGACAGCAACTAGTCATGAATTAGTCATAGATTCTGTACCAAAGAAAATGTACCACACATATCGGGGGAGCATGTCTTCACATTTCAGACTATTCCAGACAAGTGTGGGAGAGAGACACAGTTACACAATTAGTTGAATGGCCTATGTGTGAAATATTAGTGGTTTACATGATTTCAGAATATGTACACCTGTCTCTGTAAAGTTCCAAATAAGGCAGTGAACTCCAAAGAATCAACCATGAAAAGAAAAGAGCACTCAAAAGATACCAGGACTAAAGTTGTAAAATATACAGATCAGAATAAGATATTAAAATAAACAACTAAAAGGCTATTCAATTAATCATGGGACTTGTGAATGTAATTCTTGTGCACCTGAGCTAATTTAGGTTTCCTGTAGCAAAGGGGTTTGAAAAAGTAACTTTAAAATGTGTATACATCATTTTCAACAAGACAGGACATCATTCGAAGTTGTAAATGGCCAAAATATACTCTACAATAACATACTCTACTACCAGTATCAAGAGCAACCAGTTAATACATATTCCCTGTATCAACCAGCAGATGACACTAAAATTCTTTACGTGGAGGACTATTGAATGTACAATAAAGAACTGAACATTTTTAGTCCCGAACAGAGTATACTATGAGGAAATATGATTCAAATATTCAAAATCCTCAATTGCACTAACAAAGGCAACCCGATAAACCAAACCTGATAAATGTCTTTAGAATAGAATTTAAAGTGCAACAAAACACAAATCACATGAAATAATCTACAAGAAAGTGCATTTGAAACTGAGACCAGGAGACATGTTTTTACACAAAAGGTTGTGAACAGCTGGAACCAGCTATCTTGTCATGTTGCTTTAGATGATACCATGGCTCTTTTCAAGAAATGTCTAGATGATAGCCTTGCATTCATTAGCCACTAGCAACCACACAAGCAACTTTCTTCAAGTCCTTATTCTATAATTTTATGACTCAATAATCTAACTCAATACACTATTATAAAATAGTTGCAGTAGGTTTATATTGAAATGTAGGATGATGAACACATATTAGTACATAGAATATGTTCTGGTGTCTTAAGAACAAGCCTTTTCATTTGTTCTTAAGATACCAGACCATATTTTATGCACTACTTTGTGTGCAAATTATAAAAAAATAATAAATGTATGCTTTTAAGTAATGGATTATCAAGTGTAATGTGGGAGCCCTGTTGACCTGCAAGAAAACTTAAAACAGACAAATATTTATTACAATAAATACCCCAATACACATCATGCACCTGTTATGCTTCTGTTATACAATTATACAATTCTGTGAGTTTCAGATTCTTGTTTTTATAAAAATAGAAAACCCATAATTGTATTTTATAATCTAAAGACGCAAAAAACACCTTCAAAGATTAAGAGGGATCCTTTGTCCTTTTAAATATAAGAATCTTACCCATTACTAAATAACCCTGTCTAATGTAGCTCACAAATAAATGGGAACCAATTTTCCAATTCCAAATGGGGCATCACTAACCCACAAGACATGAAAGCAAATAAGAATTTCCTCAAAATGCTAAGACAACTGGTTACAAGCCTAATGAAAGTCTCTTACTCTCAAGGCCCAGTCTGCTTCTTCTGATGATGATGTATGATGGATGCTTTCCTTTGTTACTTCTTGTCTATATTCCTGTCTTTGTTCATCTCCTCTTTACTGTCTTCCTGAAAGTGCTTTGTTATGCCCGTAGAGGCCTTAATTTCTATGTGATGTGATGTAAAAAAAGATTTTTAGCCAGTGAAAAGCACTGGTGTAGGTGCTGACATAAGCAATCATTTCAAACTATTTTTTTAATTCTGCAAATATTGTAACATTGCTAAAGCACCTCTAGGTTCATCTGACCCCAACATGGTGTATTTAGTTCAGACCTACAAAACTGCCCTGAAGAGAGGTAAAGTCAAACACAGGGTGGTTCTGATCTGCACCGAAGACTCTGTACAATAATTGCAGGATTGTTATGAGTGCACTGATTGGGACATGTTTAAGCATTCAAGTTCTGATATTGATGAACTGACAGATACAGTTATGAGTTTTGTGAAAATACTGTTATACCACTGACATTTTATACTGCATTCTCTAATAAGAAACCCTGGGTGACAAAATATTTTATGTCAGCTATAAAAAGGAAAAATAAATCACCAAGGGGATGTTGTTTTGAGTAGGAAGGCAAAAAGGAATGTTAAAAGAGATTAAGTCAGCTAAATTAAGGCATAAACATAAAGTTAAGGGTGAAATGAGTAATGGCAATTGACATTCAGCTTGGGAGGGTATCATGTCAATGATGGGAATTAATAAAAATAGGGGCAGGAGCATTAGCACAGGTGGATAATCTTTTGCTGACTTTGCTGATGGGTTGAATCAATTTTATCTTCAGTTTGATGTATATTATTTTACCAATGAACTCAAATGTTTTTTTTGAGGCAGGAAATCTTGTCAGCTAAATTACTGATTTCCTTACAGATAGAAGTCAGTGGGTATGTCAACAATATTTTGTCTAACATAGTGTTTTTATTTTCCACTGGCTCCCATCAAGGATGTGTATAGTCTCCCTTACTCTTTGTTCTGTATGCAAGGGGCGGAGCGGTGGCTCTGTGGCTAAGGATCTGCGCCTGTGGCTGGCTGTGGCCAGCAGAGAAATTCTACTCCATTGGGCCCCTGTGCAAGGCCCTTAACCCCAGCTGCTCCACGGGCACTGTAAAATGGCTGACCCTCCACTCTGACCCCAAGCTCATGGAGAGTAAGCGGGGGTATGTGAAAAAGACAAATTCCTAATGCAAGAAATTGTATATGGCTAATAAAGTGATCTTACAAATGATTTTAAGAGTTATCACCACTCAAGACACATAATTAAATCTGCAGATGACTGTTATTTTTAGTTTGTTGCAATCAGATGAGTAGTAGATGAGCTTTTGCCACTTGGAACAAAACTATTTGAAGCTGAATGTCTCTAAGATCAAAGACGTTGATTTCTGAAAGAATCCCAATAACCCCACTCAGATGTGTATCGGGGTGAATCAGTGGAGATCGCAGGTACATTTAAGCGTTTGGGGACTTTTCTGGAATGCAAGTTAAATTCGGGCAAACATTGATTCTATTTTCAAAAAGGGGCAATAGTGTCTATTTTTCTTAAGGAAGCCTAAACAGTTTGATAATTCATTGTTGATCATGTTTTATCAGTCTTTTATGTCTTCTTTATTATTAACTTTCACCCTATTTTCTAATTAGGGAATTTGAATCTGAGGAGTAAGAACAAATTGTGGAGTATTGTCAAACAATGTCAGAAAGTCTTGGTGCTGATCTTTTGGCCCTTTCCAATGTTTATCAGTTAGGATTTTGCGTAAAGCATATTGCATTCTAGAGAACTCTTCACACCCCTTGTTTAATGAATTCCAATTAAAGTACTCCCCTCAGAATGCAGATACAGATTCCCCCATTTAAAAACAAATAGGTTTAAGTTCTCATTATACTTATAACTATAACCTTGTCTTTTTTGCTTTTTATTATTTTATGTATGTACATGTGTATTGTTTGTTTGTGGGTTTTCTTTATATTGTCTGCTGCTGTAAAACAAATTGTCAGTTGGAGCTAATACTCTCTCTCATCACAGAGCACATAAAGACACAAACACACACTAGGGATAATTTTTCCAGAAGCCAGTAAACCTACAAGTATGTCTTTGGACTGTGGAAAGAAACCGAAACACACAGTGGAAACCCACAAAAACACAAGGAGAACATACAAAGTTCAGACTGATAGCATCCCAGGAACTGAATTCAGTGCCAAGTGACGCTAAAGTGATGCATTACACCACTCTACCACTCTTTTCCATTTCCTTTTCATTTATAAACATAATAATTTAAATAAATTAGCTCGTTTAATAACATAAGTGTTAGACGGATAGTGAAATAATTAAGCTAGAATGCTCTTCCTGTATTCCAATCATTACGCTCTTTGACCTCGGAACCAGAGCTGCCGAGTGATGATACTGTCACATGACCACCACTTCAACATGGATACCTTCCTGAGAAAATAACAGGGAAGAGGAGCAACTTCACGTCAAATTCATGTGAAAACAACCACCGCCGATCGAAAACTGGTTGTATTATACCCCAGGACTTGTGTGTGTAAAGGCACACTGCGCAGGGAGGTAGTGGCAGGATTTGTTTTATATTTTGAATGTGGTTTGAGTGATCCCTTGAACAGAGTTAATCTTCCCGTTCTAGTAAATGACGACTGACTTACTATTTACATTACTGTGATTGGGCAAATCCTTATCTAATATCTTACAGTTCTCTATGTTTTCTTGTAATTTAAGATAAAAGTCTTTTATTGAACGGGATTTCCTCAGAGTAATTACTGTACGGTTTTGTTGCGCAGTAGGACTGAAATGAAGTAAATATATTTTGTATGAGCGTCTTAATAATTACATGGAGAAACCCTAATTGAATTTTACTTGGAATTTCTAATTCAATTGTAATTTAAAGTTATCTTTTAATGCTTGGATTGTTCTGTCTTAACGGCTGCAATGATCTACTTTTTTTTGTCTAGGTCGGCTTTGTGTTTTGATAAATTGTTCTCGACTGATAGAAGAATTTGGACTTTGGATGTCTAATTTATTGGGGGTGGGCTTGTGTCTTAACTGTTTCATACGAATCTGATGCTTAATTTAATCTGATATAGTGGGCGAGTATTTCAGTTAAGAACATTCCACGATATATTTCTGTAGTATTTGTACATGCAAAAGTTGTGTTCAGTTTCTGTTTGATTTTGTTTTTGAGGTACTGTTGTGCATTTTTCTGATCTTTCATGCTTGCCGATTTTATCAGGTACTAATTTTTAGCTCACGCGTTGTTCCAATGATTTGTGTTACAAAACAATTCGAAACAGAACCGTCAGTATATAATGCATGGTGCTCAGGTACAAAAGCAAATCACATTAATAACGAGTATTGAAACAGAAAGCAATCTACGCTTCTTGTGTGTTGGATTATGTGTAATTATTAAAATATTAATCGAAAATATGTATTGGATGTCAGGTTGGTTTCATCAGCTTTCAGTAGGACTGAGATCCGGGATTGTTATAGTCAGGAAGGTTTCTCATGTTTCCATATCAACAAGTCCATTTTTAAAATTGTTAAAATGATGTGGCCAGTGCAGGTATTTCTAAGATCTGTATGTGTATATAAAAAAAGCATTACTACTGAGGTAAAACATTGGAGATTTGTTTTCCTTTTTAGGTCTAATAAGTGCACATTTGGAGTCAAATAATATCCACCGTATTTGTGACTGTGAGCCTGCTACCCGGAATTCCCTGCTCAGCTGAAGTGGTCTGTTTTATAGAGCAAATCAATATAGAGAGAAGACACTCAACTTCTACATTCTATTAATTTGTCAGCCCAAATTACAAACCTAAGAGGTATTTTTGTAATTACAGGTCAGAGAGCTCAGGGACTGTACAATGAGTTGGGATTTCTCCCTATGTTAAGATTACTTTATTGGCCATATACAATTCTTGTATTAGGAGTTTGTCTTTTTGCATACCCCAACTTGCTCTCCGTGAGACACATAGACAGGGAGAGAGAAGCTTGGGGTCAGAGTGCTGGGTCAGCCATTTATATTGAGTCCTTGGAGCAGCTGGGGGTTAAGGGCCTTGGTTAGGTTGCTCAGTGGAGTAGGATTCCTGTGCCGGCCGCGAGATATGAACCGGCAACCTTCCAATAACAGGCGCAGATCCTTAGCCACCGATCCACCACACTGCACCACCCCAAACAAAGTTAACAAAGTTATTATATTTCTGAAGCACATTATATATTTTTTCTTGTCTTTAAAAAGGAATTCATAATTGTAAAAGACATAAAATGTCTGAACTGTGAACAGGATAAGCAGTAAGAGAGTTCCCATGAAGCACCTCTTCAGTTCTTGTTAGTGTAGCCTTTTGAGCCTCAGACAGAAGCTCAATTTATAAAGGATTTACTGCTAGACTCTTACAAGTTAAGTTTACAAATCAATGTCAAATGCTCCATTAGTGAAGGTGTTGAGCCCCGTGACTAGGATTTCCATGCATCAATTAGTAGACTGCCCCCGAAGGATGGTGAGCCTTAATTGTACAGAGATCTCTTGGCAAAATAGCAACTTGATGGGAACTTTCTGGCTAACAGTAAGACTGAGAGATGCACTTCTGCTTCATTTGATGCTGGCTTTCCTCTTTGGCACTGTGGACAGCACAAGGTGAATGGATCTGACAGGTGTTTACAGAGCATATCTGCAGGTCTTCATTCTTATGTTTCCAGTTCTGGATGTAAACCTGCTTGGATGTATAATAAGAAATAGTTAATTTCAGATTTATGAAGACAATGGTGCTCTAACTTGTAAAGATTTGCAAAGATATATAAACAACAAACTAGTAAAGTGGAACAATGGTTATCACACTTCGAAGTGTACCACTGTCATTCTAAATCACTTTCCTTTGTTCTTTTGAAGACAAAATGCATGAAAAATGCAATTTGTTCTGTTCAACTTGGACTCCATTTAAGAGTCTTCATGATTTTATTGTGTATCCATAAGAAAGTTAAGTAGAATTAGGTATTAAATAATGTAGCACTGTTGCAAAAAACACAGCTACAAAGAGTGTACTGTCCTCAAAAGTCTTTGCTCTTCTCTTTCTAGGTGATGTATCTGCTGTGCTGCTCCAGTGCTGTATAGCCCATTCCCCCTGATGCTGTCCTGCGCCACGCTGCGAAAGATAAATGTCAGCTGGACACCCTATCGGGAGGGAGGGAGAGACCTCCCAGGAGAAGCTGTTTGAGTTCTTCAGGGCATGCCTCTTGCAGGGGGAGTGGGAGCTGGCACAGGCGTGCGTGCCCCAGCTGAAGGAGTGGCAGGGTGGCCCGCAGGTGGAAGAGCTTTTGCAGGCCATAACTGCCTGCCCTTACCAGCTGAGGTAGATGGAAGTGGGTCCTTTCAGTTTGGGAAGCTTCTATTTCCTGTGCTACAGATTGCATACTTTGTTCAGAAATTTTGGAAAATATATATATTTTCATTAGCTTTGCTGTGCATTCTACTATACCTGTTACTAAAATATTCCAAACATTTTAATCACAATTGTTTTGATATTTAAATTTTCATACTGTGTGTCATATATCAGCTGGGAAGTGGAATGAGAAATAAGTAGAAAATTATTTATTTTGGGCTAGGCAAACAACAGTTCAATTGTTAAACAAAGGCCTGGAAAAGTGTGTTTAAAAAAGGTCAACTTAATGCCAGGCTGTGTGTTTCCACTATTGCAGTTCCTAGCACTTGAAGACAGTGCTGTATGGTGTTGCAATAGGAAGACTGTACATTCTGAACACAATCCTTATGGTTTCTGAGCCATAGCAAAAATCATCACAAAATACACAGATCTAGTGGATTAAAATATCAAAGCTATTTAGGCTAAATACACTGGACAGGAAAGATAGTGAGATGAACATTTTATTTACTGTTTTGGTTTTCTTTTTTTAGATGGGAGACAGTTGGCAGCCCACATCGCCTCGCTTGGTTGTGGCTCCTGGTGCTCGAGAAGTGGTCACAAGAACGGGTAATTTGTAGTTGCTTTATCCTTCAGCAATTTATGTGTTATTGTTTTAATATTCAAGTTTAAGCCCTTGGACCCTTTAAGGTCTCTAAAATAGACTGTTTTTCTGGACTGATTAATTCAATCTTACTATAAAGCATTCTGGGTGAAATGCAGGATTAGTTTTATACTCCTGTGACATGCACAGAGTTTGGTGTTTTTCACAAGAATTATACTATGTAAAGAAAATAAAGAATTACATATTAAAATAATAGGTTTTTGATGTGTTGCAGCCTAGTTCTTCTGTGATAGAGGAAACGTGTGTCAGTAAGGGTGACTGTTGTTTCTAGGACACAAGGAATCAAAAAAGGATTAAGTGCAAGACAGAAATCAACTCTAAAACTAATATGAATTGCATTTGATGGTTTTGTTATTCATTCTCTCCCAATACTTGGCTTTAGATCCCAGTGATCGCCAGAAGTGAGCTGGAGTTCTTGCTGCTTTTGGAAGAGCTTGAAGACACAGTTCCAAAAAGTGTGCTTAAGGTCTCTCCCTCCTTCAAATACCAATCAGAGAAATTATGACAATATTTTCATCTTCAGTATGTCTGTAATTTAGTTAGTAATTTCTAGTATTCTCTATTTATGTTTTCATCCTTTAGCCACCCTTGTGCATATTAGTAGCTAGTTATGTAAAATTACTGCTTATTTCCTTTTCTAAAAAACGTGTCATGCAAGTATGTTTCCTTAAAGTTGTAGTGAAAAATGTGTGGGTTTGCACATTTCAGAACAGTCTTTTTAATAAGCCTGAGCATCACCTTATAGCTGCCATTAGGAATGCTGAAACTGTACAACAGCATTATTGCAATAAAGATGTTACTGAATTACCTTGTTTCAGATATTTGCGTGCATGATAACTGCAGATACATTCTAATTGCATCACTGTCAGTGTGTCACCTTAGTTTTTGCATTTCAAGTGGTCTGTTCTTAGCCTTTTGGATTTTTCTGGGATCCTAGTTATTTCAGGTTATTCCCTTCTTGGGGAAGACTGCACGGTCCTCTTCCTTTTAGGTTGCTCTTCACTTGTTTCTACTGCCACACTTACTAAATTGTCTTTTCAGAGTCAAAATAGAGTCTTTTCTATTAATTCATTAATCACCAGACACTGGAGTATTCAACACTTCATGTATTCAATAACTCTATGTCACCCAATTCTTAATTTCCACTTCACTAAATAGCATTTACTTTAACACATCCATCCACTAATTCACCGTAGTGCCTTCCTTAAACTCACATTTATGGTCCTGATACAGTAGCCAGTTTGTTGTTGAACGTGACAAATGAACAACCAAGCAACCTTTCTGTATAGCCTATTTTCTCAAACCTATTTTTTCTATTTTCTCAAGCACTCCTAGCTAGCTTAGTTCCACAAGCTTGTAAGCCAGCTTTCTTTCAAAGATACCAAGTGTCTGTCCTCAACTGTTTATAACGTGAGTGGCTCACACATTCATACAGCCACAAACTTGGTCTTGCTTTTAATGCGGCTTTGAGATGTCTTGTTCAGTCGTGTGCTGTATAAGATAAATTTATACCAGCTAACGCTTCTGACTAAAGGTGTTACTGCCACCTAAAACCTGAGTTTCTTTCCTTTGCAGGAGCTGTACAAAGCCTTCTTACACAGTCACAGCTCTGGCCTCCCTAGAGAGAAGAAGAAGGAAATGTCTCCCCAGAATCTCAGCCAGGATGTGCTCTCGTGTCTGTGGAACTTACTGGTGAATAAGCCAAGGCTAGCCCAAGCACTCGCTGCCTGTCTGTTAGCTGATGGCACGGATTGTGCCATGATGGAATACAGCGCTTGTCTGCAGAAAATGTTCACAGATTTCCTGCTGCAGGCTGTGGGCAGCCTGAGGAGCCCGGGGACAGGTGATGGGACAGCGCAGCAGAGGCACACAGCTGAACAGATCTATTCGGTTCTGTCTGTGCTGCCCTACGAACCCGAGAGGCAGAGCAGGGAGCAGCAGCAGTTGTGCGAGGCCCTTTGGGAGGCCAGCTGGGGCCAGGACTCGTCCTTGCTGGAGCAGCGGGTTCTGAGCTGCCTTCTTCGGCCCCGCTGTCACGGCCTGGTCGTTCTGTACAGCTCAGTGGCCACTGTGCGTCGGAAGGGGAAGCTGCTGCAGGATTTGCATTCAGCCCAAGGTTTGCCCATCTTCCTGTTCCACACAGTGCGCCTTCTTGTGGTAAAAGGGCACACGCCATTTGCCCAAGTGAGAAACCTATAGCCATTACAGGCAGAAATTGAATTATGAATCTAAATGACTCACATCTCTATGAAAAAATAGAAAAGAAGTTAACATTAATGCTTTATTTATTCACTTTATATGTAATCTTTTAGTATTAAGATTCATTTTTCAAAAATACAATTTTTAAATGCTAAGTAAATTTGAGAAAGTTAGTTTTAAGGCACAGTATATTTACATTACAAACTTCTGCACTCTTCCAGCTACAAGTGTGTGTAACCTCAGATTGCAAGGTGTGTGCCACAGGGATCTGTTTTAGGCTCTTTGATCTTCTTGATCAATATCAACTATATCAATATTCTGATATAAATTACTGCGTTTAGCTAGTAGCTACATTTACAGACGATACAAAAATAGGTAAGTGGCCAAAATAGAAATGGTGGCAAGGAAATATCAAAGAGAGAAAATCAAAGATTGGAAACACATGGCAAATTAAATTTAACATTGATAAATACATAGTGATCCATACTGGCAGCATCGGCACTGCTGGAAGTTACACATGAAAGGGATCTGGGGGTTTGTCGAAGTTTCCTCATCAGTATTACACAGGGAAGCAATAAAAATGGCAACAGTGATAAGTGATAAAAAGTATGCAATTTAAATTCTGGGCAACTATGCTTAATATTTACAATGCATTAGTAAGACTTCACTATGAATATTGTGTTCAGTTGTGGTCTTTCTTCTACAAGAACATTATTATGGTCACAGAATCCAAAGAAGAGCGACAAGGATGATTCCTGGTCTGAGCAAATTGTCATAAACAGGTTTAAGGAAGCTAAATGTCTTCAGTCTAGAAACAAAGGAGATTAATTTGATTCAAGTATACTGATCCTAAGGCCCTGAGAATTACACATTAGTGTTGAAAGTGGGTGTCACAATAGGAATTTGTTTAAAATAGGAATAGGAAATAATTTTTACACAGAGTTGTGGAACAGTTCCACAGATAACTAGGTAGCTGAGGTCCAAACTGATAACTTTAAAATGGATAAAATGACCTCAGCTCAATTACATTTTTTCTTGCACGTTCTCTTGTTTGTGTTTTGTGATCATATGTTCAGGAGTCTATAAAACTGACTATATCAGTTTTGAATGCCTCAGGAAAGTCCCATTTTATTCTTCTAAAATTTTTCAATTTCATTTATTGGTGGTGGTGGAGGGGAGTCCCCATTACCTGTAAAGCACTTTGAGTGGAGTGTCCAGAAAAGCACTATATAAGTGTAAGCAATGATGATGATGATGATTATTATTAACTTGTCAGAGTATAATATTGCTTTGAGCATTTGATTGTTTTTTTTCTAGACTGATTCCAAAGTAGCAAATAATTAAAAGAGACCAGAAGGGAGTTTCTGCTGGGTACAGAGCCAGTGATATAATGCAGGTCCTAAGTTGGGGTATAAAATGTAAAGATTTAGTATTTATACCCCAATGTTTAGTTTTGCTTTTTTCAAAGCACATTAGTTTACTCACTTTAATCACTTTATGTACCTAGGTTTCGGCAGGAAGTGTGATGATGTAGTTGGTGCTAAAATGCTTATTTAACAGCTTTGTTAAAAAATGGTTATCCAGTAGAAACAGGAACTGTTTTTCTTGTACCTACAATAAATGCAGATTGTCTCCAATGTCAAAGCCTTGTTAATGTTATCACACAATCTTAAGCTGAGCTGTGTTTTCCTGCTAACCAGAATTGTTAGTCTAAAGACCCTTCGTGAGATTGTGAAATTGGTTCCTGAACAGTAAGTGCAATAAACCAATTAACACTCATTTGAACTGAAAATAGTTACTTTGAAATTGGAAGCTATCTGAAGGAGTGACAAACTTCGTTTGTCCCCAGCTGTCTTATTTTACCAGGGTGAATTTGTTCTGGGATTTCTGGTTGACCTGGCTATTATTAGATATCGCATAGAGAGTTGTAAAGAAGACTCCTGTTACAGAAGAGTTTGATTCATTTGAGATTTTCATTGATGCCAGGTGTTGAGCAACTAAAGCTGATTAAACTGACCAAGTACAGTAATAGTGTTACTTAACTCATTGAGCACTTTATTAAGAACTCGTACATACTGAAGATGACAGTCAAGTGAGAATTATTGTGCACCTCACATGGCTTATTCAGAAGAACCAGCACCTCATTAAACCTTAAAATGCTGTGACCACTGTGCAATTGGAGTTTGTTTTCCATATGTACTGTATGTTTGTGTGGTGAGAAATGTGTTTCTTTGTAATAAAAGGGCAAATAGCTCCTTTACAGAAGTTCCATTACTAGGCCCCGTAATTTCCCCTTGCTTTGCATTGTTCTAGTCACCACAATCATGACAAGAAACTGAATTAATGTTATCAACAATGTGGTACACAGGTTTATAAATTAATTTCTTCAAAAAATAAACCTTCATTAAAAATGCCATTTTCTATCACAAGCTAGACAATGCTGTGAGTTCCTTGTTTCTGCTCTATATTGTCAGATTCCAAAGAGCTGTATGAAGCGGAGAAGGGGCTGCTGGGATTGTTCTCTCACTGTGATCGCACCTCTGCCTGGCAAACAATTTACTTTGACTGTCACAGCAGTGGCAAACACTTTCTGGAACAGGTCTTGGTAGGTTTCACATGACCGCTGGGATTATAGAAGGCGGTTTCGTTGTTGAGAGACTAGCCTGGCACTATGCTGCCGTTTGCACATTTTTGAGTTCATGCTTTTTTACTTGTTTTCACTTTCATTTCCCTCTGAGTTACACCTGATTAACAGCACCAACTTCAGTTTTATACTGCTCTGATACCTCTGTGATTGAACATGGTTGGGTGTCGATTCTGTGATTGGTGGATTATTGTTTCTGAATCTTGGCAAGGAGATTGTGCAATGTTTATTTGTTGAAGGTGTTTTATAGCCACTTTCAAAAAGGAGAACAGCTGGAAATGTTTCTTTACCTCCTTGTAAACTCACTTGACTTCTGAAAATGTCAGCTTATATCACTCCTTTACTGCCTTTACACATCATCCTCTGGAGCGCTGTCTCTCGTTTTTTGCTAGTGAATTTTAATTAGTAATTAATTTTAATCTAGTGAAGATTAATTAATTTAATTTCTTTCTTAGGTACAAGTAATAGGTTTATTCCATGCTGAAAAGAAAAGAAAGAAAACATGTTTTGGCTAAAGTAATTTCTTTATTAATGAAACTAATTAACTAATTTCTTTATTAAATGCTTTTTAATTGTTATATTCCCCAGTCTGCTGTGCTGTAGGTATTATATGAGATATGCAGTAAAGTGCTGTTTGCCCAGTAGTTGTCTGGACAGCTTCTTGACTTTAATTATGTCCTCCTGAACCTTACCCATTTAAAATTAAGGCTGTGATCCCAGTGGTTGGTTCAGGTGGAAAGCGTCAATACTGATGGATACTTTCCTTTTGTGTCTAGTTAACAGCACTAAGCTTGATCAAGAGAGAAGACTTTTCCAGTCTAGACCAGCTCCTGAAGCAGGAGTTCCAGCCTCTTTCACGGCTCCTGCTGCTGCTAGGATGGACACACTGTCAGAGTGTGGAGTCTGCGAAGACACTGCTGTGTATTCTCCATGAGAACAAGGTTTGCACTGAAGTTGAGCAAAATTGAAATTATTTTTCACCTGTCCTTTTAACAAAATAGTTTGAATACATTTCAGGATATTTTGTTTCTTTGTTGTTTCAAGTTATACATTTGATTTATGCTGCTTTGTCTGTGTTAGTTGGTTTTGACGGTCTGGCTGAGTAATTTGACAAGAAAAAAACAAAAAACATGAGAAGCTTCTCGGAGGCCTTTGGAGAGAATTTTGAGGAAGCATGTTAACGTTGTAATATAGCAGAAGTACTTCATCATATCTGTGGTATGGCTTCCCCCTTGTCAAGTGATTCAGATTAGAATCCATTGTTACCCTTACCTCACCACTCGAAAAATTAATTTGTGCCCTTTTCCCCACATGAACCAAAGGTATCATTATTGGTACCTCAGCGTGAGAATCCTGATACACAGGGCTCTGTGGGTCTGTGCTTGCACCATTTTGTGCTTTTTGTCCTAGTGCTGTTGTGTTATGTTTGTGAAGGCTGTTCATCTAAGTGGGACTGAGTAAACTCAAAGTAAGCTCAGGAATTGCTTGCTTTAGCTTTGGAGTCAGTAGACCTGGTCCCATATGACTGATTTGTCTGCATGAGTTCTAGGTCTCTTCGAAGCCCCAGTCTCTGAAGAGTTGGGAGTTGCTATTCAGTTGTATCCATTAAGCCAATAATGAGGTGATTGAGTTAGTTAAGCACTGAGTGGCAGTGAAGGCCTGCAGACCAGGAATTCCCATGCTTGCTTCAGCTCCTTGTTCTGGCAGCGAGGAGTCTCACAAGCTAAAACTACTAGGTCTGACTGGTATTTTAAAGGCCTGTATGTTTTTGGTATTCCAGAGCTGACTTTACTCACTCAGAAGACAATATGCATAGCATTATTCCTTAGTATTGGGCAGTAATGCATAGCCCAGTGAAGGCTGTAGAAAATTTAGTCATGCATCATTTTCACTGGCTCTATGCACTGACACTCTGCCTTGAGTGTGACTGTGGTCATATGTGCTCTTTCTCCAGAACCTGTACTGTGATTCCATGCTGAAGGAGTTCGGAGATGGGCTTTCCGTACAGCTGGGCATTCTTGAATGGTGCTCAGAAAACAGCAAGTGAGTCCTCTGCTGCTCTGCCCCACTACTCTCTTTAGCTGCATTTCTGGGCTGTTAAAAAAGCAATCATTCTTTCACTATGAGAGCTCTAGACTCATTGCATTGAGCATTGGGTGTGTTGGAAATTCACCAACAGCCATGTCACTTTCAAACTCACAACTGGCAGCCCACTGAAGCTAAGCAGATGTGAGCCTGATCAGGACCTGGATGGGAGACCTGGGAAAAACTAAGGTTGCTGCTGGGAGACATGTTAGTGGGGCCAGGAGGGGGCGCTCACCCTGCGGTCTGTGTGGGGTCCTAATGCCCCAGTACATTGACGGGGACACTATACTGTAAAAAGGCGTCGTCCTTCGGATGAGACATTAAACTGAGGTCCTGACTCTCTGTGGTCATTACAAATCCCAGGGTGTTTCTCAAAAAAAGATTATGGGTGTAACCCCGGCTTCTAGGCCAGATTTCCCATTTGGCCCTTATCAATCATGAACCCAATCCAGGTGGGTTCTGCAAGTGGTGGTGGAGGGGAGTCCCCATTACCTCTAAAGCGCTTTTAGTGAAGTGTCCAGAAAAGTGTTATGTAAGTGTAAGCAAATATAATTATAATTAAATTCTCCTGTTATCTCTTTTCTTTTTTAAATTTAGAATTGCCAATTACTTTGTACATGAAGTATGCCGTCTGAACTGGTTTTTATGTATTTCATTTTGCAACATACAGGGAGAATTAGGACATTATTTAGGACATTGGGCTTACCCACCCACCATTAACCCAGTTATTTTTTAACATGTCACAAGCAACACAGCCCCATACCTGAATGTCTAACTCTATATGGAGGAGAGACATGGTGCTCACAAGCACTGCAATGCCTCTTTTGCTGAGAGCCTACATAGCCTTGGCTGACCAATCCCACCCTACCCTACCTTATACATGGATAGGGTATCCTGGATGGACTCTTATACAGTTGCAAGAAAAAGTTTGTGAACCTTTGGAATTAACTGGATTTCTGCATTAATTACTCATAACAATGTGGTCTGATCTTCAACTAAATCACAATAATAGACAAACAATCTGCTTAAACCATTTTTATGAGTAATTAATGCAGAAATCCAGTTAATTCCAAACTGGGTTCACAAACTTTCTTGCAACTGTTGATGCAAATGTCTGCATTCTAACCCAGAGGGATCACATGATTGATGGCTCAGCAGGGGCTATATTCCAACTATTTATAGTGAAATTAAAATTCAGACTACTGCAGTGATCTCTTTCAGCATAGCACAAGTGGAAATGACCACTTTAAAGAAATTTAACTACAAAATTAGAACTCCTACCTTTTAGTTAAATTAGCCTTATTCTTTACAAGTTTCTCTCTTTTAATAGGAACTATAGTAACACGCAAAATACATATGTGAGAACATCTGTGTTTCATGACAGTTGTGCGGTGTCCTTGTGTTTATAGCAGCATTCCAGGAAAAGAGACCCTTCAGCTCCTGCATAGCCTGGACTGCCACTCCGCTCTGTTCATCCTACATTCCCTCACCAGCCTGCCTGCACTGCAAGAGGGCCAGGTCCTGGATTTGCTGCAGGGCCTGGCAGAACCTCACAGTTCTGGTCAGAAAATCTCTCTTCTTTAGCTGAAACACAGAAAACTGATAATTGAGGTCCAGGGAGGCTCCCCGAGGCTCACACTCCAGCAGGGCTTCTCATGCTCATATACTCATATTCAGTACTAAAATCGGCGCAGTTGCCTGATTGAATTCTTTATCAGAAAACAGAGAGCTTGACATCAAGTTCACTACCTACTTATTAAAAGAAGAGTAAGTGATCAGTGCTGCAGGAGCGCTGGGAATGTCTGGGATGGAAACCAGAAGCTCAGTAGTCCTAGAACTGAACATCAGCCTTGTCAATTTCTTTGCCTCAGGGCTAAGAACACAGAAGGATTAGGAGTTTAATTCTGATACTTTGAAATCGTATGTTAGAGAGACGTTGGTTCAGACTCCTCCAAGTATTGGAGTCTACAGTTTAACATACAATTTAAATTGTTGTTTGATAAAGATTTCATGTGTATCACAGAAGAGTGTGTATGGTTGATTCATGACTGGACATGTACAATCTACTTTGCTCTAACTTAGTTCCATTTAAAAGGAAAAAAAACTACAATTCCTCACTCTTACTAATTGTTACACAATAGAATTTAGGACATCATTCCAAGACATGTAAACCATGATTGTATTTATTATGAATGAAATTTGTTATCTTGGTCCACGTTCAACGTGAAACAGTCTCGTTCAAGTGGGACTATACCAGTAATGTTTTTCATTTTCATTCATGCAGGACAGTCAGACACCCTAAGCTGTGCCAGTGTGGTTGCACGTCGAAATGTGGTGCTATTCCAGGGTTTCTGTGCCATGAAGTATGCCATCTATGCCCTCTGTGCCAATGCACACAGGTACCTGTGCTGCCAGGTGTGTACAGACTGGTGTTCGGAGGTGCAGTCAGAGGAATCTTGGCCATGCCAGGATCACATCAGTGCTCAAGGTACCATCACTCTTTATCCCCTTAACATACACTCATCTTCTTCTGCATTGTCTGTAACCAGCGGAAACTGAATGTACAGTAGTTGTGTGTAATATTGTACTAAATCAACTGTGTGTTGATTTATTTGTGTGGAAAATGTGTTTCTGGGTAAACTCATAGGCACAGAGGAAATTGTTTAAAACAAATATCACTGTAAAACCCACTAAGGTTGGATTATACAATATCTAAAAAGTTATGAAATTATTTTTTTGTCACATTTTTAAAATAAAATTGCAAGGACAAAATAATTTCTTATTTTTACTATTAGAACCAATATTGCTTTAATTTGCAGCTTTTTAAAATGTTTGTTGAAAACGTACATTTATACATTTGCCCACTGCCTTACTATGAACAGCAGAAAAAGCAAACACAGTTATAATAATAATAATAATTGCTTACACTTATATAGCGCTTTTCTGGACACTCCACTCAAAACGCTTTACAGGTAATGGGGACTCCCCTCCACCACCACCACCAATGTGCAGCATCCACCTGGATGATGCAACGGCAGCCATAGTGCGCCAGAACGCTCACCACACATCAGCTATCAGTGAGGAGGAGAGCAGAGTAATGAATTGGGTAGGAAGGCTTTGTGAGCTATGGTGAGGGCTGAATTTAAAAAGCAAGTGAAACTTATTGGATTGTACTTCCTCAGGTGTTACTACAACCATAGTTTTTCCATCCATAGTCAATACCCTGACAATTGGGAAGCATTGTTAATTTTGCATTGCATTGTTTGGTTACAAAAAAGTTCATATTTAAATACAGTTTTGTGGGCAGCATATTAATGCCAAATTTTGAGAGACATTGGGCAGTATGAGCATTAATGTAATAATGTGCATATTCTTCCCCTTTTCTGCATCCCAGGAAAACCTTTGCTTTTTCAGGACTATGTCTCTAAGTGCCAGAGCTGTCTGGATGCTGTTCCAGACATCTTTCGGCTGGAGCTCTTGGAGAACATTTATTCACTGCTGTTTTTATGTGACGATAACGTTGGCATGGAAAAGATAGAGAAGTTGTGTGACGTGCATAAGGGGAATCTAGGGGAGAAGAAGATCCAGCCGACTTCACTGGGAAGGAATGGGGAGCACAGTTCACATCTTGCAGACAGCTTTGGGGGTGGCAGAAATGAAGAGGAGACAGCCAGTGACTCAGCACAGCAGAGTAAAGTACAGACCCAGGGCCAGAATTTCAGATACTTGAATCTAAAGCAGTTTAACACAGGGGCCAATGGTTTTTTAGCCAATGAAGTGACGATGGAAATCTTTCTGGAAATGCTGAAGGAGAATCTTAAGGGAATTAATAGCAATATCCTGTTGGAGGACAACAAGATGCTGGCCAGAGAAACGGAGTTCGCTGAATGCCTGAACTGTTCCATCACCATGGAAACCTTTGACTCTCGCTTCAAGAGGCTGTCCCAGCATGTTTCCGAGGCTCAGTGGAGATTTCAGATTGTCACCAGCAACAAGACTCATGGTAAGGACATTAGAATATTTGGGGGAAGTGTTTTGTAGTCAGAATATCTTAAGCAAGACTCTTTGTTAACTTGACCTATGAACAGTTGAGATGGAGTGAGGTGGTTTACTTCTTATATTGCTAAGAATTGGACACTTTCATGGAGTCCAGTACCTGCCATGTTCTCTGAGGGCTATGAGTTGCCCAAAACCACTGCACAGTTAATTGTTTAATGTGTGTGAAAAGTAAAGTATCAACACTTCAATGTAAGTTTCAATGTTTGTTCAAATTTATTATCCATTATTATTCCATGTTGGTTTGGTGTTACATGTGTAGTGTCCTCTCACGAGGCACCAGTTATGTAGGGGTTTGGGCATTTACTGGGACAATTATTAATTGTGGCAGTAAATCACGAAATTGATAAAAGAATCAATTTCGTGATTTACTGCCACAATTAATAATTGCCTTAGAATCCAACCATGCGATATAAGTCAAACAACGCACACACACAGGTACTAATACACAAGGATACATTTATTAATACATAGAATATGCATGTAAACCTAACAGATCTTATCATGAGGGTTATCAGAAAACAAAAGATGTATATATTCATTCAGTTACGAAGAGTTACATATACCAAGAGGACATAAGTTCGGTATATCATTCATTTAGACCGTTTCGTAAATGAACTTGGTTATAACTTCTACATTAGATACTCAAAACAAGTACATAACTCTTAGGAATTAAATTGATATCAACTGG